CAGGCTGCACTGGGGATCAAACCCCCATCCTTGTACTTACCTAATTAGGTGTTTAGTCCCCTGAGCTATCTTACCGACCCTTGAGTGCTTCATTTGAAATGCTCATTACAAGTTAAAAATGAAGAAATTGAACACAAAGAAAACAGCACATGGAGAGAAAACATTCTCTCAGGCTTTCACAGAGAGCAAATTGGCCAAGCAATGGCCATGAATCATAGACATGGCAGACACTGACAAAAGATCTACAATCTGAGGTACAGGGTTTCAGGATAAATCCTGAGGGGATTTGACTGACCTTATGAGATCGAAAAGCTACAATTCTTGTTACATAGGTCTTGCTTTATTGTGGTCTTAACCATCCAGCAGAAAAGTATAAAAACAAAATACAAGAAGTAAAGCCATGGTGTTATGTTGAGCTGTAGGGGACTCAGGTCAACAATTTCTGACATTACCAGTCAAGTGGAAGACCCAATATTATTATGAACTACTGGACTATTTTGCAATATTTTGCTGAGTTCACACACCTATAATATGTAAATGATGGAACTAAACAAAAAAGGGGATATAGATGAATACCCATTTTGTATCTGTGTATTCAAAATGGTTAGGATAGATATATAGCTACATTCTTTTAATTCAAGGAATAGAGGGATTTGTTCTAATAGTGTTTGTAAATAGGAAATCATTTCTGCTTCTTGTACAACAAACAATCACTAAGAAGGCAGTATGCAATGTGTTAATTATTGGAGCTGTCCTACCAATTTGATTTGAAACTGTCTCTTTGCTATTTGTTTCTCAATAAAATTATGGAAAAATAATTTTCGTTTCTCACACAAGAGAAACAATATGCTATCTTAAAAAAAGGAAAGTAGCAGATAGGAGGGAATATGATAGGAATTCTTAAGTAATTAAAAGCCATACATAAAGAAACGAAAATTACAGTTGATTCTGTGAGAAAATAATTTAAAAATCAAAATGTAGTAGAGCATATAGAAACAGAAAAATGGACAATAGGATCCTGGAAACAATAGAAATAGGAAACAATAGGATCCTGTGGCTGAGAAATGGATCATGGGTGCAGATACATACTAATTTTTTATACAAATACACTACAAATAGTTCAATAGCAATATGTGTGGAAGTTAAAAATAAAAATTCACTGGGAAATTTGTCAGCAAAAGTCCTAAAGAAAATATACAATTGCCATACTAAAAGGACTAATAAATTTAAGTGTATAGCTTACTATTTTCTCACAATTTTTATAATAAAAGCACCAACAGTGAAATTTGTAAACACTCAAGAATCTAATACTTGTGGCTGATACCAAGTTTAAGAGCAGGCTTAATGATTGTGTTGCCACAGCTAAGGATTCCATCACAGGGAACTAAGTGGACAGACCACATTTTTGTTGAACTAAACTTACATATTCTATATATGTCATGACACATGTATCTCACAAAATGTATAATATGACCATATTCAGTGTATGAAATATAATTAACATATTAGTTTCTGGGAATAGAGTATTTGTATCAATATATGAAAAAATACATAATAAATCTGAACCCATTTCCATGACTTAAAATAATAACAAAATTGACAAAATAATTAAAACCAGGAGGAAAGTGTCAAATATTAAAAATGACATTTATAAAATGTCATTAATCTTAAAACAAAGTTCATATTCTGTGGCTCAGTTTCCAAAGCAGGAATAGGACCAGAATTTCCCAAGGCAGCTCTACCAGATAGCTTACCATGAATTTGAGACCAACTACACAGAAAATTCTTTCCAATGCAATAGGTTCAGGAAAACGCATAAAACAGAATATTTTGAAAAGGAAGAAATAGAACTGATTTACTCTTCCAGTGACTTGGGTGTATATTTTTTTTAAAACTGCATAAACGAATACATTTACATTTGGATATAGTGGTAAATGAATGCAAGTGATCAATGTAAGACATAGTCTATCACTACAGCTCAGTTATAAACAATTTATAAATAAAGCTTTAAAAAATTGGCATTGACTACATCTTAAAGGATTAGATACCTCTGTGTCAGTCAAGGTTTTACTAGAGATACATATAAAACACAAGATGTACAAATGTATAAGAAATTCCAAGATTGGTTGCAACAGTTAGCTACAGAATCCTAAGAGGAAGGGTTCAGAGGGCACCTGCATACTGGAGACTGAAGGATACAGTTCAAGGTCCAGAGGCTGCTGCAGTGTTCCATGCAAGTCCATATCAGGAGGCTGATGGATCTACAATGGAAGGTTGATGAATCTACACCAGAAGGCTGAAGGATCCAAAGCAGAAGCCAAGTATCTGTGCTAGAGCCAGAAGATGACGTCCAAATTGCTGGTGAAGACTGGAGCTCCTCCGAGGAAGAATGGGACCTTCCATCCTTCCTCATTCTCCTTTGATGCGTCACTCTAGGTTGTGGCCTGCACACCCTAGGGTGTGAAATTGCTGAGCCAATTTAGTTACACTCTTAGCTTCTCAAGTTGATACAATCAATCAACCACTAAAACCTACTAACAAATCCTATAAGGATTTTGAAGGATACCATCACTGAACTAAGAAAAAATGTCTGGCATGCTGTGGAGGAATGGCTGTTGGTCTCTGGTGGGGTGCATGCCTCGGCTGTCCTGAGGCTCCAGTGCTCTGCAGAAGATGTCAGGTAAGGAGGAAGCCATGGCTTCCTGAGTCACCTGAACATGAACATTAAAGCTGAAAATATGGCCACGATTTGCAGGCACAAAGCATGTGTCCTTGGCCATTGCTCCAGCCTCCAGGCCAGGTCTGAGGCAAAGAACAACTCTTGAGGCACTGGTAAAAAGCCAGTGAACAGCTGTAGTACAGAGTGTCTCTGAAAATGGAAGGAACAGCTTCAGTGACTGGAAACATTCTTACTAAAATGCTATAGAAATAGCTGCAAAACGTGCCTGTGTGTGTGTGTGTGTGTGTGTGTGTGTGTGTATGTTTGTGTGTGCATGTGCATGGGTGTGTGCCACAAATGGAGCTGGAGCATGAACCTGAACTGGTAAAGGAGAAAATTCTTTCTCCTTAACCCATTTTGGTTGATACTTCATCTCCAAGCTGAATGGAGATCTCTGCATGTGCCCCAGCCAAAGAAGATCTGTGTCAGGCTTTCTCTGAAGTATTCTGTCTGTGAATATGGTTGTAGAAGATGAAGCAGATCACAACCTCTGCAGTGAATATGTGAAAGAAGTCTATGCTTCTGTCAGACAACTTGAGGAAGAGTGGTCAGTCAGACCAGAAAACCTCCCTGGATACTTGAAAGCCATTCTAATTAACTGTCCATTACAGATTTAGAAGAAATTTCAATTGCTGCAGGAGACCTTGCCAATGACTGTTTCCATTATTGAACTGTTTATACAGATTAATTTTGTGCCCGGGAAAAATGCTACTGCTGCTCAGAGTCACTACCATGTTCATTGCAAGCCAATAGGGAGAAACAGATCCTCCAGAAATCAGCGACTTTGCTTACATGAGTAACAATAGTTACACCACACGCCAGATCAGACAAATGGAAATGAGGATTCTAAGAATTTTAAACTTTGGTCTAGGTCACTTGATCCTCCTGGAATTTCTTTGCAGAGCATGTAAGATTGGAGAAGTTGTTGAGCATTATGCTTTGGACAAATATCTCATGGAATTCTCCATGTTAGACTGTGAAATGATGCAGTTTCCTCTTTAACTTGTAGCAGGAGCTTCTTGCTTAGCGCTGAAAACTCTTGAGATTGATAAATGAACTCCAACTCTGAAGCACTGTCTTAGTACCCTGAAAAGTCTCTTCTTCTTGTAATTCAGCATCTGAGTGAATACATAGTCATGGTGAATCGTGGGTTTCCAAAGCACATGACTATCAAGAACAATTATGCTACACTGAAGCATGTTAAGATCAGCACACTAGCACAGCTAAATTGTGTATTAGGTAAAGACTTGGCTGTGGCAAAGGTGTAACTTGTAATCCTTAGTAATCTATCTGCAAATAAAATTGGCACTATGTGCCACTCATACATTCTAAAACAAAGGGAAATAGGTTGTTGAATAAAGCATGCTCATGAGGAAAGATCAGTGATGAGATGATGGCAGTACTTAGCATTTGACTTGCTGATTTAAACCATTGTCTTAAAATTTTAATTTTTCTCTTTTTCTTGTACAAAATACAAACTTTTGTGAAGGGGGTATAGTTACTTTACTTAACAGTAGGTACTAGTGTATACATGCATTCTTCTATAACTTAGCAAATACTTTGGCTCTTCAATAAAAGCCAACTAGCTGATTAAATTAATACCAAGGGTATCACATTTCAATGGCTTTATTTAAATGAATATGTCTGTTAATGCTTTGCGAAGTTAGAAACATTTTAATGAATAGGAAAGCTCAATGAGAAAAAATAGCATTCTTTAATATAAGGAATTGGGCAGTATTAATTGGGAGGTACTTTCTAAATAACATTCTTTCATCTGGTGTCCATAGAAACAAAAACATGCCAGGTATACATAGTGGTGAATGTCTGTAATCAGTTCTTCAAGGAATTTAAAATAATTGAAAGTTGGATCCAGTCTATGAAATATAGTGACTTAATTATATCCTGATTCAAAATAAATAAAATAAAATAAAATAAAATAAAATAAAAAAGAATTGAAAATTTAGCTCAGGGAAAGGTCCTTAATTAAAACTTCAGTATTTCAAAAATCAAAATGAAATACAAAAAGGGAGGAAAAATGTGCTCTATAAATCCAATGATGTTCTTGATGTGTCTCTAAATAAGAAAAGAAGAAGGAACTTGAGCTGACTTTTTTTTGTTCTTTTGGCTAGCACAGCCTGCTCTAAGGGTGGGGCTGGCACTGCATATGGTGCCAGAGATCCAAACTTGGTCCCCTGCACCTGCCTATGCTTGCCTAAGCAGGAGCTTTAGACACTGAGCTATCTCGCTGGCCCTTGAACTGACAATTTGAACTTTTCAGTAGATATGGAGCAGTGTGTGAAGTGTCCAGATCATCAATATGCTAGCATTCAAAGAAATCGCTGTCTTCAAAAATCTGTGACTTCTCTGGCTTATGAAGATCCTCTGGGAAAAGCTCTGGCTGGCATCGCCCTGAGTCTCACAGTCCTCACAACTGCTGTTCTTGGGCTGTTTGTGAAGCACCGAGACACTCCCATCGTCAAGGCCAACAACAGAGCTCTCAGCTACACCCTGCTCATCTCCCTCACCTGCTGTTTCCTCTGCTCCTTGCTCTTCATTGGCCATCCCAGCACAGCCACCTGCATTCTGCAGCAGACCACGTTTGGAGTTGTGTTCACTGTGGCTGTTTCCACTGTCTTGGCCAAAACCATTACTGTGGTGCTGGCCTTTAAAGTTACCGCTCCAGGCAGAAGGATGAGGCAGTTGCTGGTGTCTGGGGCACCAAACTACATCATCCCCATCTGTACCCTGATCCAACTCACTCTCTGTGAAGTCTGGATGGGGACAAATCCACCCTATATTGACACAGATGCTCACTCTGAGTATGGCCACATCATCATCGTGTGCAACAAGGGCTCCCTCACTGCCTTCTACTGTGTCCTGGGATACCTGGGCTCCCTGGCCCTGGTGAGCTTCACTGTGGCTTTCCTGGCCAGGAACCTTCCTGACACCTTCAATGAATCCAAGTTCCTGACCTTCAGCATGCTGGTGTTCTGCAGCGTGTGGGTCACCTTCCTGCCCATGTACCACAGCAGCAAGGGGAAGGTCATGGTGGCCATGGAGGTCTTCTCCATCTTGGCCTCCAGTGCAGGGCTGCTGGGCTGCATCTTTGCCCCTAAGTGCTTCATTATTTTGTTAAGTCCAGAGATGAAGTCTCTGCATAGGTTCAGGAATAAAACACGTTCTGTAGGAAATAAACCTTCAGTGAAAAATGTGTGTTTCTAATATGCATGAAGGGTCCAAAGCAAAGCTACATCGTTTTCCATTGTGACATCAGATTATCACATAATAAATAACTACTCAATGAATAACTATTCTTTTTTCTCTGATCTTTTGTTAAAATATCTTTTATTGGATAGAGAGAGAGAGAGAGAGAGAGAGAGAGAGAGAGAGAGAGACAGAGACAGAGACAGAGACACAGAGACAAAGAGAGAGAGCATTCACCATAAAGAATTTGTTCCTGTACATGATATAGCAATGTTACTTCGTTTTATTCCTTACCATCCCTTCTACACCTGTTCCCTTATTATTTACAAAATCTTTGCTTTTTACTCTTTTGTCTCATTGCCTTTTTCTTCTTTCCCCAATTCTTTTCCACAACTCCCCTTTCCTTTTGAATAAATTATTCCCATTTTACAACATCTATTGTACATTTTGTTTTGTAATTAATTTTATTGATAAAGAAATAACAATGAGGCAGTTTTAGAGCAAGTTGTAGGACAGTTATAATAATTAATACATTGCATATTCTTGTCTTTGCAGTAGTTATTCATAGTATAAGATGGAGACATGATATCTTGTCTAAACACTATTAGTACAAATCTTTGTTCTCATTGAACTAAGAGAAAGTAGCTGTGTATCCTAACTCATATATATATATATATTTTTTTTTCTGTTTCTCACTCCAGATAGAAAATGCATATTTCCACATTGTCAGACCTGACCTGAGAATGTTGTGAGAGAGACCTGACAGCCCACATCTCTCCTCTTGACAACAATGGCTAATAACTGTTTAACAAGTAGTACAGTTTGTAAAGACATGGAGGACTGGGACTGAAGTTGCCTTGACACCAGTTTTATCTATACACCTATGCTACTTGTGCAAATTTGACTTCAACCATTACACCCAGATTATTTGGGAACCCTAGAAATCCTGAACTTTATCCAAAATTTATATATCCTCAGTTTCCTCTCTAGATAACCTCTGGCATCATGCCAATGTTGGCCTGCTGCAGGTAGATGAATAAAATCTGAGCTTTCCCATCCCGGTTCTCCCAGTGTTGCCTCAAACCTCCATTTACCCAACACACATATGTGTCCAATTTATTTCATTTACGAGTATGGTCTCAAAGTGCATACATTTGCAAAGAAATGCCTCAACTTTATCATTCTTTAAGGTAGAGTTAGTACTCCAGTATAACAAAGAAATTCATCCATTGATGGCATTTGGCCTATTCCCAACCATTATTTAAAACAAAATGTGCTGCTTTAAGCTTCATTGTACATGTATAACTGCATGATGCTTTTAATTCTTTTAAGAAGATATCTAGAAGGGGACTAATAGTCACTGGGTCAAATGTGACTATTAGATTTAGTTTGCTGAAGAAACTCCATAATAATTTCTACAGTGATGCACCAGTCCACATACCCACCAACTATAGAGAAGGGTTCCCTTTGTCCACATACCTTCATGCAGTTGTTAGTGGTTGATTTCTTTCTTTCTTTCTTTTTTTTTTTTTTGCGGAACCAGGGATTGAATTCAGGCCCTTACTCTTGCCAGAGAAGCACTTATTCCAATGAGCCATCTCCCCAGCCTTGATTTCTTGATAGTAGCTCTTTTTTTTTCTGTGGATCATGTTGGAAACAGACATTTTAATTTGCATCTCTGGAATGACCAGTGATGTTGAATATTTTCCCACATATTTATTTGCCATTTCTAATTCCTCATCTGAGAAACATGTATTTATGTCAGGTGCCCAATTAAGGATTGTGTCTTTAAAGTTGAAGTTTAAAATTTCCTTGAAGTTTGTTTGTATTAGTTTTGTTAGAAAGAGATGGCAAAAAAAGATTTAACAGTTTAAATTGTCTCTTTGCTGTGCTTCTGATGTCTATTTTAGATTAATCTTTTTGAAAAGATAATATCCCACTTGTAGATTCTCTGTACTATTTCCTTTTTGATTTTTTAATAAAGGTTTTTATCCTACACCACTGTCTTCAAGAATTGTGCCTATTGTAACTTCCATAAGATGTAATGTCTCTCTTTTATGTTTAGATTTCTGATCCATTTTTATTTTAGTTTGGTTCATGGTGATAGATATGGGTCTAGTTCTAATCTTCAGCTGTAAAAGTCTATTTTTCTAGCAGCATTAAATCAAGAGACTGTATTACATTTAGTGAATGTGTTTGTCTCCTTTGGCAAAGAAAAATCAAATGGGTCTGTGTGGAGTTTTCTCTTTTTTTCTTTTCTTTTCTCTTTCTTTCTTTCTTTCTTTCTTTCTTTCTTTCTTTCTTTCTTTCTTTCTTTCTTCTTTCTTTCTTTCTTCTTTCTTTCTTTTTCTTTTTCTTTCATTCTTTCTCATTCCTTGTGTATCTTTTAATCTGATCCAATTGATCATTAGGTCTGTTTTTGACCAGTACCACACAGTTTTCTTAGTGGCTTTGTAGTGTAATTTCAAGTGGGGATTGTCTTGCCTCCTGTCTTGTCTTTGTTGCCCACAATTGCTTTACTATTCTGGATATTTTCTCCTTCCAAATGAATTTAAGGAATGTTTTCTCTAGTTCCATGAGATATGCTAATGATATTTATATTGATACTACATTATGGCTGTACAATAATATTGAGAATACAGTCATTTTCAATATATTTTTTCCTCCTAAGAATAGAGGATATCTTTCCTTCTCTGAAACTACCTTGCTCTCCTTTTTATGCATTATTACACATTTTATTGTAGCTATCTATCACAACTTATTTAGATTAATACCTAGATTTTTATTTTGTATTTATTTCATTTATTTGTTTTTTTCCCATAATTTTATTGAAAAACAAATAGCAATGAGACAGTTTCAAACCAAATTGGTAGGACAGTTTCAATAATGAACACATTGTATACATTCATCCTAGTGGTTAATTGCTGTACAAGATGCGGACATGATATTTATTTTATTTTATTTTTCAAAATAGTTTTACTGAGAAACAAAAAACAATGAAACAGTTTAAAAATCAATTAGTAGGATAGTTTTAATAATTAATAAATTGCATATTGTTGTCAACTAATTTTTTCCATAATTTTATTGAGAAACAGGTAGCAATGACAGTTTCAAACCAAATTGGTAGGACAGTTTCAATAATTAACATATTGCCCACATTCTTCCGAGTGGTTAATTGCTGTACAACATGCAGACATGATATCCTATTTACAAACACTATTAGAAAAATCTCTCTATTCATTAAGAGAATGTAACTATATATCTATCCTAACAATTTTGAATACACAGATACGAAATGGACATTCATCTGTATCTCCTTTTTTTTTTGTTTAGTTCCATTATTTCAATATTATAGATGTGTTAACTCAGCAAAATATTCTAAAAGAGTCCAGTAGTCCATAATACTATTGGGTCTTTTGCTTCACTGGCAATGTCAGAAATTGTTGACCTGACTCCCATACAGCTCAACATAACATGATGGCTTTACTTCTTATACTTTGTTTTTATAATTTTCTGCTGGATGGTTAAGGCCAAGGTAAAGCAAGACCTATGCGACAAGAGATGTAGCTTTTGGGTCTGATAAGGTCAGTGAAACCCACTCAGAATTTATCCTGAGATCCTGTACCTCAGATTGTACATCCATTTTCAATGTCAACCATGTGGATAAGTCACGGCCATTTCTTGGCCAGTGTGCTCTCTGTGAAAGCCTGAGAGAATGTTTTCTCTGCATATAACTCTCCTTAGGCACTCTACATCATCGATCGCTTTCCTCTTTGGCGCCATAATCTCCTTGATCAGAAAATTTGGGAAACTACCTAGTTACGTGACGTTACAGTACAAGTTCTCATGTGTCCTGAGTCTTAATTGAACTTGGAAGGCTAGGGCCAAAATGTTGGCTTTCCTTGCGGCCCTCCTTTTTCTCTAATTTTGGTCTGCAAACTTAGGTTGTTAACCATCCAGAAGACAAGCTTATTGTTATTACCATACAACTTAGGCTGTTAAGCATAACAATACTATCTGTCTGAATATCAAACATTTTAGGCATAACATAGAACAGATATTTTTCATCAAATATTGATATGTTGAAATTTAAGTACCTACAGAATATGATGAAAAACATTTAAAAATTACAATATATTTTAAAAATAGGCATGACGAATTATATAATACTTATGTTTACACATAAGTCCAAAAATCTAACCATATACAACCTTAAAGCAGGACAGTCCCACAACATTCCTTTCCCTGTCTCTTGCCTTCATTCACCACCCCCTTCTTTTTGAACATTTATCTACCTGAGAGACAGCACAGCAGCAACTGGCATGTCATAACAAGCACCCCCTATTCAGAAGACCAAAAAGACAGGCACCCCAAGCATGAACCTACTATTACAAATTGCCATTTGCAGTTCAGTTGCTTAGTTCACAGGTGTCAGTATATATAGTAAGTCAGGGTGAGAATCTTTCAAATTAACTGCTACATTCAAAACTTTTCTGGAGATTCTCAGGATCAAAGCCTAGCCAATCTTCTACATATAACTGTATGACTTGTCATGGTCATGTTTCCTAGCTCTTCTCCTTTCCCTCTCTTAACTAGTTAGTCCTCAAGTTCTTGCTTTCCTTTTACTTGTATTATACCTTTGTGTTTGTATTCCTACTTTTCAGTTCTTATACTAGGGAAATTAAATGATATTTACACATGTGTGTCTGGTTTATTTCACTTATGAGTTTATCTTCAAGTGGCATCCACTTCAATATGAAGGCTTTGAGTTTATCATTCTTTATAGCTGAGTAATACTCCATCGTATAAAAATGCCACATCTTTTTCATCCATTCATCAGGAGATGGGCATCTTGGTTGTTTCCAAGATTTGGCTATCACAAATTGTGCTGCTTTAAACATAGGCACACATATATCACTATGATGTGATGTTTTCAGACCATCTGGGAAAATTTCCAGTAGAGGAATAGCTGGTTTAAATGGGATTTCCAGTCCAACCTTTCTAAGGAGTCTCCACAC